GAGTGGGTGGGTGGTCAGGATCTGTGAGAATCCTCTTCGCAAATTTGGCGCGAGAAGTTGTATGATACTGTGGAAGCTTCCCAACTAACATATTCACAGGAGTAGAAGGACCATTGCTGCTAGTAGTTACACTGCGGTGTAAAACTTCGAAATCCCGTTTGCGTAGACCAGGAAAAACAACAGGAGAACAACAAAGTAAGATAAAGATAAGATAAAACATGCTGACAAACACAGGTAGAAATAATTGACTGGGATGCTCGAAACTGCCTGATCTTTCGAATTTGAAAAGATAGACACCGCAGTTTACCAATGCAGTTGTAGATGTGGGTTGACCAACGAAGATTGGTATCCATAGGTAAACCAAGATATTTTACAGAGTTCACCTTATATAAATGATTGCTATTTATCACTGTGGTGTCTGTTAGGTACGAAGTGCGTGCAGAACTATATTAACACTCAATACATTTACTGGGGTTTTGGGTTTATCCCCGATAGTAGGAGAGTGACTGAATTCGATCAAGATCAAAGATCGGATTAATAAGAAATGGGTTGAAACCGTACAACATCATCTGCATATTTCAAAACATGAGCATGAGAACCACAAGGAATATCACAGACGTACGTGGAAGATAAGTGTGGGGATAGCACAGCTCCTTAAAGAACTACGGAGTTGTTGATTAGGGCTTTAGATGAGGCTTCCACAATCTAGTGGTTTGTACTCAATCAGTAAAATAGTTGGATAGCCAAGCTAACAATTGCTGGAGATATTCCAGTTTTTCTAACAACGTTGGTAGGGGAACGGAATCGAATGCTGAAGATTGGTCAATAAAAACAAAGTTGTGCAAAGAATTAGTGATGAAACGAATAAGGGTGGAGACTGCGTTTAATATGGATCCATTAGACTTGCAAGCAAACTGTAAAGGATTATTGGGAATGTTTATAAATTGCTGAATGCGTTTGTGGATAGCCTTTTATTTTACTTAAGAGCTGAAGATGTTAACGCTATGGAATGAAAAGGTTTGAAGGGGATAGAAGATTTAGATACTTTTGGGATTGGTATGATTGCGACCGGCCTTCAACAATCAGGGATAGTATAAGTGCAAAGAGATTCATTCAAAATCAAGATGAGTGCCCTAGCTAGAGAAGCAGCACCAAATTTGAGGGGGGCTGGAGGTAAATCATCCGGGCGTGCAACAGAAGACGAATCGCAACTACTTAAAAGTTTCAAGAACACAATTAGAGAATGGTTCCATATCACAAACATTATGTGACGAGTAGGTAGGATGAATGTCCGACCACTGGCGCATGAATGAGGTCATCAACATCCAGCTTCTACCGTACTCTCTTCTTTGCACAGAGATATGTGATATATATTGCCACAGGTGTTTGCTGTTTCGAGTCCTCAGAATTTGATCGGAGAATAATGAGTTTAATCTATGTACCTTAGCTTTGATAAGCCTGGACAAATACCTGACATCTGAAGCATTCTGAGACTTTTATGCATGTTCCTTTTATCATCATCACAGTGGGGAGAGTTTATCCTTCCGTTGGACACAGAAATTTCGAACAGGGCAACAATAATTATAAATAACATTGATTGTTTGGGTGAATAGGAGAACACACCGAGGAGTCCACTGCAAATTGTGCAATCCTCTTATTCAACCACCATTTGAGGCATCACAAATTCAGTGCATGAGCTGTAAGCCTCTGCAATAAGCTAACGTGTGTCCTCTTAGAGTTAGGTAAAGAGATTCCGTGACCGTCAAGCCTGTTTGCAGTCATGTGATAGAGTGGCAATCAACAATCGACGAACGAAAACAGGTTTGTGACCCCGTTGAACGTGAAAACCCCAATCTGAATCTTTTTTGTTTGTTGTATACAACGGCTGAGGCCATTGATTGTCCACAATCATCTAACGATTTTCTCACATACCTTCGGAAATACATAAAAATGACTACGGAAAAACGTGGAGTCGTCCAGAAAAATCAAATAGGATAGGTATGTGATCTAGGCACAGTTGAAATTTGAAGTATGTGTATTGGCTTAGATTCCCTCCCGATTATATGCTCTCTTAGCTGAAAACTGTATGATCTGCCACTTTTTACGAAGAAACTGAAATGCTTAGAAATAATGTGGAATGGATTGTAGCTTGGGATCCCAATGTTACTGTTGGTGTACTCTCCGAGCTGGAAGTGTTCGCAAATGTTTCGTAGCCAGGCTAGGCAACATCATCGGTGGAAATTCAGGGAGGCCTCGAAGCTTCTTGGACCGTGTTTGTTAACGATGAAAAATTATTCTCCATTCACGAAGAACTATCATCGGCGAAAAGCAACCAGTGCATCTTCGTGATCACTTAAAAAGTTTACTTGACATTACGCCACCTATCTGCTAGTTCAGATCACAGGTTAACCCACTGGAAGCTTGACCTCCACAATCTTGCTTCCCTGAGAGGAATGATGGTCGTCATTGACTTCGCGACATATTCCATCACTG